AAACCGCCTTGAAGCCTACGCAATTCCACCACTGTAAGAGGTGTACGCCTCACTAGGACTGAGGCGCGCCTCAGAGGCGCAATTGCGCAATTCTTAGTGAGGCGTACGCCTCATGGGAATGGGCCCACGCACTTAAAATAAAGTTTTGTTCTCCTTATACCCGAACGGCAACAGCTCTCCCAAAATTTCCCCATCCGCACGCTACAGTTCGCGAAACAGAGGGCGCCCGCACGGTGCTTACCCGTCGGCTTCCTTCCCGCCGCTTCTCCCACTGGCGCCGCTCTCTCCGGCAAAGTTGAAACTTCCGGCCGCCCTCTAGGAGCACTCCACATTGGATTTTAGGTATTTTTTTTAAGTTTAGGGTTAGATTTTTCAAGTTTAAGAAAATCTAGGGTTTATAAATTTTTGATTGTTTTTTGTGTTTTTGGATTTTTGCTTTAGGAGACATGGTTAGAGGTAAAGAAAAGGCGAATACGTCATTGCGGCGTGACCTTTCTTAGAAATATAGCGTGCAAGTTGACGTAGGAGAGGGCGAGAAAACGTATGTCTATTTAAAATGCAATTTTTTGTGAGAAAGTGGTGAAGGGCGGAGTAACCCGCATGAAGGAACACTTATCATGCTCTCATAAGAACGTAGCACCGTGTGCAAAAGTGCCGGACAATGTGAAGGAAGAAATAAGTGCTTACATGAAGAAAACTACCACGGTGAAACACTTACAATATGAGCAATTTGATGAAAGGGTCGAACATGGTGCTTATTTTGGGAGCGAGAGTAGAAAGGGGTCTTCCTCCACTATACATAATAGAGGTGCACGGGGTCCTATGGATCAGTATATGACTAATCCAGGAGCGGATAGAGGACAAGCAGAATGATGCCGGCAGCTGGTACCAGAGAGGGTCGGCGACAGGTTTGCATGGACATTGGGAGGTTTCTTTTTTTAGAATGCCATACCATTTAATGTTGCTACATCGCCTGCCTACTTCAATATGTTGCGGTCTGTAGGGTTGTATGGGAGAGGGTTGAAGGCACCTTCCATATATGAGTTGTGAACATGGATTTTAAAGGAGCTGCAGAACACAGAGCGGAGCATTCAGGAGATTAAAAGGACATGGATTGAGACTGGTGTGACTATTATGTCAGATGGATGGTCTGACATGAAGAGCAGGAGCTGGATTAAATCTTTTTCAACAAATCTCAAGCGGCACGGGTGTTTTACGATCAGTTGAAGCTTCAGATGAGGTGAAAAATGCTACATTCATTTTCAATTTACCTTGAGCGGTTATTGAGGAGATGGGAGCAATTGTTGTCCAGGTAGTGACTGATAATGTTCAGTGCATACAAAGCACTGGTCAGATTTGATGGAGAAGATGACACACCTATATGGACCTCCTGCACAGCACATTGTATCGATCTCTTTTGGAGGATCTTGGTGACTTACCTCAGCACAAAATGCTCTTTCTAGGGCGAGAAAGATTACAAAGTTTATCTACAATCACTCATGGGTCTTAAAGCTTGATGAGAAAGTTTTCAAAGAAGGAAATCATTCGCCTGCAACCACTAAGTATGTTCTTAAATTTGTGCACTGCAAATCATTATTGCAATTCCTACTGTATGTTTTTAGTTCTAATATTTGTGCACTATAATTTATAGGTTTGCACATCTATTTGACACTGCAGAGCCTGATGAACTGAGGCAACCTTTGGAAGCAATGTTTACATCAACTAAATGGCTTAACTCTGCTTGGGGGAAGAAAAGTGAGGGGAAAGAAATAAGAAAGATTATTCTGAATGATAAATTTTGGACTACTATGACCTATGTCATATTGAGCACGAGACCCTTAGTGCAAGTACTACGCTTAGTGGATGCAGAGAAGAAACCAGCTATGGGTTTTATTTATAATGCTATGGATGAGACCAAGGAGTTGATTGCACACAACTTGGGAGGAGAGGAGGCAAGTTATAGGGAGATTTGGGATTTTATTGATGCTCGGTGGGAGGTGTAGTTATACCGTCATCTACATGCAGCGGCATATTATCTCAATCCTCAATTTCAATATTCATAGAAGAAATCTTCAAACCCGGAGGTGAAGCTTGGTCTGTATCATTGTATGGAAAGACTAATACCGGAGCAGGCAGATAGGGAGCTTGCAGATTCAGAACTTGTTCTATTCTGGAATAAAGAAGGTTTTTTTGGTCTGAATGCAGCAAAAGCAACCATTGACAAACGGTCTCCAGGTATAGTTATTTTGGTAAATGCAAGACACTTTATTCAGTTCTGATTATATTTTTTCTTCTTGAAAACAGTTGAATGGTGGATCCAATTTGGTGATTCCACTCCTGAGTTACAGAGTTTTGTTGTAAGTGTGTTGGGCCTCACTTGTTCTTCTTCTGGGTCTGAGCGAAACTGGAGTACATATAGTCAAGTGCAAACAAAGAGAAGGAATCGGCTATCAACACTCAGAATGAACTCCCTCATATGTATTATGCACAATAAGAGGTTAAGAGATAGGAGGTTGAGGAATAAGGGGTTGAAGGATGATGAGGACCCGTTAGTGTGTGATGATATGTCATCTGATAATGAGTTGTTCATAGATGATGAGACAGATTTGTCATTATCAGACTTACAGATAGAAGATCTAAGTGTGGATGTCTTGAGGGGCGAAGCAGATCAAGTTGGCACATCCACTAGTACCACACCACACACATGCACTAGCTCTGCAGCACAATAATCAAGTAAAGGTATTCCACAACTTCTTATATGCTATTGCATTATATTTATATCAAGTGAGCAATTAACATGATAATTATCTTTTCTCTTATTGAACAGGGAAGAGAAAAGTGAGTCATATTGAAGATGATGATGATATGACATTCATAGATACAATTGGAGAAGAATATTCCCTTGAAGACCCATTTAGTGATGGGATATGATTGCATTTTACATGTTTTTTGTACTTTGGGAGTTTTGTTAAACTAATATTTTGTAATTTTGTACTTTGGGACATGATTTTATTGCATCTACTTTCTTAATTTCCACTATTTTCATATATCATTTAGATGTTTTTATTGTAAGATACAATATTGCTATTATTTTCCAGCTAAAACCCTTAATTTTTCATTTACGCAATTCTGTGTCCGTGAGGCTTACGCCTCAGACCGCCTCGAGGCTTAATTACGCAATTTTAAACCTTGCTTCACCGTTGTACCATCATCCGTCAAACAAGATCCAAAATCAAAATCTATAACTCTAATATTAGTCTTGTTACTCCAAGCATTAGGCAAACCATTTCCACCTGGTTCCTTCGAATTGGGAACATCAGAAATTTTCCACATCATGATTGCACAAATCCAAATCTCCTGACTCACAATGACAAACTACTTCAAGATCTACAACTGATCGATCATAACTAATAACTTATGCACAAGGCTTAGAGGAAGATGGAGCCCCAAAGTTATGTTGATCCTTACTAATAAATTTTTCACCATAAATACCAGCATCAGTCTCCGAACTAGCAACATTATCAGGCAAATTATTAAAATTTGAATTCAAACCTCCATCAATCCCAGCAACCGAACTAGAATTCCCAGCCTTATTCACGAAAATCTTCATACCAGAGGAAGGCGAAGCATCCGAATTAGAAACAAGACAACCCCTTGTACCTTGGCCACATTCATAATATTTGGGAACTTTGGAGTCCCCTTCAACCACCACATTTTTGCCTTTACCAATATCAGGATTGATCTTCTTGGATGCCAACAAACCGCCTTCGTTAATAATCAAAGGTCTTCCATTACTAAATTTTTCCTGATACTCCGGGACTGAAGAATTCAATTCCGCACCCATGGAGCCCTCTCCAAAAGCTGGAGACGAAGAGTTCAACATCGACGGATAAGGAGCCCAAGAACCACCTGACGATGGATGACGACCATCAACTGGACCGCCAACAGAGGAATGCTAGCGGCCCTCCGCCACCATAGGAAAACCCGCGGAAACGAAGCAAACTGAATTTTGAAAATATATTTTCTCTCTAAAAACCCGGACCTTTAATATATTATTTAGATATTATATTATCAGGACTCGAAGGAATGACTGCATAGCTTTCTTCAATCAGGGATGAGAGACAAAGAGTTCCGACTCTTCCTTTTTAGGCCGTTGCCAAGTCAGCGAAAAAATTATTTTTAACCTTCATTTTCACTTTATGCAACTTTTGAATTTTGAGGTTTACACTTGTGCAATTTTAAACCTTGGCTTGCACTGCACTAATGGACCAGTGGCAAGTCTCCAAATTAAGACGAATGCCTCCCCATAGAAAATGCAGACATTGCTATTAGAGGAGTAAGATTAAGAAGAAAACTACTTTAAGAAATTCTAACTGGGACCGAGCTCCACATGTTCTTGAGCGGTTGGATGTGGGTTTCTCGATAAGCTTAGTCCCTTCTATGGATTAAGATTCAATGAGGGCCACTGGAACGGAGTACCAGTTGATCTGGTAACCAGCTGCTAGAAGTCTCTGCAGATGAAGAACCAATGCAGGAAGGCAATAAGGAGAGGATGAAATCTTAATAAATAGAGAACCCATGGCCATCGCAGCCAATGGTCAATCCAATGCCAAAAAATGAGTAATGTCTCTGTGAATGATGGTGGATTAATGCTAGGAGAGGAACAAGGCTGCTGATTGAATGGCACTGACTCATACAATGGGTTTAATCAGTGATACCCATTATCATCAAAAGCACAAAATGCACCTCTAGACTCAAATAGTAAAGGGGCTAATTTAGAGTTCTAAGTTCCTATCAGGCTAAAAAAAATTCCCAGCCTGTATTTGATTGACACAACACAACCAGTAAAACTAAAAGGGAAAAAATGAAACTTCTAGATCAAACATGGATTAAATTGAGTTTTAGCAGAAAGTGAAATAAATAATTGAGGGGACAAAATGCAATTCTACTATAGAATTACATAATATATGCATCTGTATTAAGGCATAATTAAAAGGTACCTTACAGATTCCTTCAGCCATTTTCATAAGCATATTTCTTCGCTGTCTGCTGCTATTAGTGGCATCAAATATACCAACCTACAGGAAAATCAGAACAAGACTGTTAAAATGGTCATAGTTGGAGAAATAGAATCAAGCATATTACCTGACCTCCTTCTTGCATCCAGGATAGCATATCTTCCATTGCTAAGGCTGCAACCTGTCACCATAATTCAATGAAACAAGGTACAAAGAAGATATTCAGCTATGAAAAAGTAATTTATTATGTACAACAAGAGTTGTCAAACATAATAGATAAAGGAAACAAAGTAAAGTATTAAAACTACAAAAAGTTCAGAAAACAACCATAACAGCCAAATTTTGTGCTCTGAAAAAAGCAGGGATTTTAATGAAGACATTGAGAAGAAAGATCATAACATGCCCAATATTTATCAAATTAATTGCATAGTGATATAGTTTCATGAAATGTAACTACCTTGGGGTCAGAATGGAACAAGAAAACTAGCAGATGATTCAAACTTCAGAAATATAAAGTACCATGATTTAGGCCAAAAAAATGAAAAGCATAATTACCTCATTTCGTGCTTCCATGCCTTCCGGATTATCTCCCCGGAAAAAATCAGCAGTCTGCAATGAAATGCTCTTTACTTATTGAAACAGCGGTCAATACTAGCACAGAAGAGAAAAAACGTACAACAGAAGGATCTTACAATCGACAAAAAAAAAGCAACAAGGCACTTTACTATGTTCAAAAAGCAATCTTATCATCTCAGCGTCTAACAAAATAATTAAAATAAAATTGCATTTTCAATACTATAATAAATGCATATCATCCATAATTCCACTAAATTGACTAGATGATTAGGTCTAAAAACACATAAAATTATTGTAAAACCAGCGAAATGTCATTTTAGACCTTGCACACTTTTTTATGCATCGCGACGAGTTTTAAGTGAATTTTTCAAAGTCGTCGGAATTCGACGCAATAAATTTTATAAAATAGTGCGCAAAATTCTGAGTGAATCGATGTATAGAACCCATATTAGATTTTAAGTATTTTGAGAGTTAAAATTTCCGGAAATCTGTTTTTGACGGTTTTGCCCTTGATGACTTTTGAATAGAGATGATTTTTAAGTAAGGGCTTTTAGGTAATTAGGCATTTAATGAGAGGATCCCACACTAAATAGGAGACCGAAATGTTTCGGTCCCCATTTCATCCTTGCGGACCAAACCGAGCTGAGATAGAGGGAGGAGGGGCGTCGGGTATGAGGTGAATCCGGCGGCCCTAGAGGCGGTTTCCGGCGATGGTTTGCGAGGGAGATTGAAGGAAAGTTGTAGGGAAGAGTAAGGTGAGCTCTCATAAACCTTTTTCATGATTTTCCCTTGAGATTTTCTAAAGAAAGAAAACTATGGTTTTGAGAAAATGCAAGTTTTCTTTAAGATAAAGATAGGGAATGGTAAGGGGATGTTTTTAAACCCAAATATAAGTTGATCTCATACCTGTTAACGGCGAATGGCGCACCATGGCGCAAAGGTCAATTTGGAGCCATGGCGCATAGCGCACGGCGCGGCGCGCGCTATTTTGAACATGACGCAAGTTATATAAAAAATATAAAATAATAAGCATGAATATGAAATATTATTAAAAATGAAAGACAAGCTATCATAATAATAAAAGACAATCATAACATATATAAGTTCGACTAAGTAACATCCAAATATCTCATAATTCAAATATTACAATCTTTTTTTAAAAGATCAAATATGAATTTAATCTACTCTTCTTGGGAATCATCATCATCAGCAAATGTTAAAAAAGCTTCATTATCTTCTTCAACATTGTCTCCTACTTCATAATCCTCTTCATCACCCTCCTCATCATCATTCTCAATAGCAACATCATGCCTAATTGAAGATTCTTTCTCTTTCCCTTTAGATCTTTCCCGAATATTATAGCTTTTATCATAAACACCAGTAGCTTTAGCAACACTTGTCCAAGTTAAATCTTCATCTCCAGCAATAAAGTCATTTTCTTCATCAAACTCATCATCTAATTTTCCTGTTAGCCATCATTTGCATCATCTATCTCAGTCAAAGAAATAGGATCAATGACATCACGATGATTGAATCTCCGAATCAGTGCTCTATTATATTTCACATAAACTAAATCCTTTAAGCGACCATGATCCAATTTGCTTCTTCGTTTGCTATGAAGCTGCAATTAAAATATTATTACATTACTATATTATGAACATATATAAAAAATCAACACATACATTGTAAAATACTTGCATGTTCAAAAATATTCCAATTGCGTTCGCATCCAGATGAACTACATGTTAAACTTAGGACTTTGATAGTAAAGCTTTGTAAATTGGGAGCTCCTTGTCCATATGCCAACCACCAATCAGCTGGAAGAAATGAATTTTTTTTTTCAATATTATATAACAAATCAGTCTTAATTTTTTTGTAAATAATGATACCTGGAGATCGGGTAGTTCTTTGTCTTACAGCTGGAGGAATACCAAAAAGTCCTTCACCCCTAATGTATAAACTTAATTCATTACTGATTTTATCTTCTTCAGCTACATCTTGAGATAATCTTCCAATACATTGATAAAGACCATCAGCTATTTCCTTATCCTTGGCAATATCAGGGTTATTGAAGAAATATTCAGGATTTAAAAAATGTCCCACTGCATGTAGAGGACGATGTAATTGCACTTCCTATCTTCTATCAATCATTTTAAAAATTTGATCATACTTATCACTGTTATTGAAGCTTGCAGCAATTGCCTCTTTTGCTCTATCCATTGCTTCATATATGTAAGCCATTGGGGGCTTCTTCTCTCCATCAACCAATCTAAGAACCTTTAATAAAGGACCAGCTATTTTTAAGGCATACACTATAGTATTCCAAAATGATTGCTTGTTTTTCCATGCTTTACCTCTTGGTATTCCGGCCATTTGCTGTTTTCCGCACCTGGGACTCTTCCCGAGTCCGTGACTCCTCGGTTCCGTGCGTGAGGCTTGGTTCCCGTGAATGCTTTTTGGATTTCTGGTTTGGGGTGATTTTCTAAGCACATGGGGAAGATTTCAATACTTACATTGCTTAGAATCTTGTGAAGATTAATTAAAGTGGCTCTTGGCTTTCCCCTTATTTGCCTATAAAAATGAGATGTTGTTGTGAAGGAAGGCAGTTGATATTTGTGAGCATATTTGCTATTAAACCTGCTGGTTTGTTTGGAAATCCTGCGGGCTCTTTCCACCCTTTCTTCTCGGGCTTCTAATCTCTTTCGTCTCTCCACAAGTGCCACTCCATCTGTATCCTTCTTCTCAACAGTGAAGCAACTTTAGGGTGTCGTGTCTTGGTTGATTCTGATTCTTATGTTGCTTGAGCTGAAGTTTAGTAGCTCTTTAATTCTCAAAAGTACCTTCATTATGAAGCTTACTTTTGGGTGGCCTTGTCCTTCCCCTTCCCCTTTCTTCATGTCTCTTAGGAATACGTGGCTTGTATTAATTGGGGGCTGAATTCTATGCTTTGAATTCATTGGAAAGTTAATGATTTTTGTGCTTTACCTCTTGGATCTCACGGCTGGCTCTTATTCCGTGACGTCCCTCGTTTCGTGGCGTGGCTATCGGTCCGTGCGGTTCCCTCGTCTCCCGTGGCTGTCTCCTTGGTTCCTGTTTTGGGTGTTTCTCATGAGCTTTGGGGGGAGATTTTCTATGCTTATTATGGCTTTGGTTCTAATGGAAATTAAAGACATGTGGCTCTTGCATTCTCTCTCTTGCCTATAAATATGAGAAGATGATGTGAAGAAAAGGGAGTTGATATTTGTGAGCATATTTGCTATTAACCTGCGGGTTTATTCGGAAATCCTGCGGGCTCTTCTCCACCCTTCTTTCTCTCCCTCCGGAAATCCTGCGGGCTCTTTCACCCTTTCTTCTCGGGCTTCTAATCTCTTTCGTCTCTCCACAAGTGCCACTCCATCTGTATCTCTTCTTCTCAACAGTGAAGCAACTTTAGGGTGTCGTGTCTTGTTTTGATTTGGAAGCAATTGGAAATCTTGCAGTGGTGGACCATCGGTTTGCTAGTCTTATGGCACTTCTTTATTTAAATTACT